TGGCTGTGAAGCGGCGAACTGGTCAATGTGTCCTGCAGGGTCTCTTGGCTTTTTAAGTTGCAGCATGTTGGCCAGAGACTAGACGCCGTCGTGTCAATCCGGTGGTGTCCTCTCGTGGGTTACTTTAAGACCTGGTTACTGTTGCCTGGAAAAGAGGAGGCTGAGGGGAGACCTTATCGCTCTCTACAGCTACCTGAAAGGAGGTTGTAGTGAGGTGGGTGTTGGTCTCTTCTCCCAAGTAGCTAGCGATAGGACAAGAGGAAATGGGCTTAAGCTGCGCCAGGGGAGGTTTAGACTGGAAATTAGGAAAAATTTCTTTACGGAAAGGGTGGTCAGGCATTGGAACAGGCTGCCCAGAGGGGTGGTGGAGTCACCATCCCTGGAGGCGTTTAAAAAACGGGTAGATGTGGCACTTCGGGATATGGTTTAGTCTGGTCTACCCTTGATTAGTCTAGAGTGGGCTTGGTAGTGTAGGTTAATGGTTGGACTGGATGATCTTAAAGGTCTTTTCCAACCTAGATGATTCTATGATTCTATGATTCTAAGACCATTTAAAACTCTTTCAGCTTACCGCTACACCCCACGTCTGTGACGTGTTATAGATGTATTGGGAGGCTCTTCAATCGAACTGTTGATTACCTGGATTATTAGGGAAAAAAAAAAAGCCTTTAAAAATCTGCCTAATTTTCCATCATTCACTATTTAGATTTGGCCCCGACGCAGCGGCCTGCAAAGTTATCGGTGCCTGGCGTCACTCTGTCCTCCTGCTGACTTTCTTGTGTAGCTGCACCCGGGCTAAGCGCTTACACCACAGGCGCTGGAAGAGAGAATTTATTTTCTTTCATGGTATTAACTGGAATATTTTTAATTTTTATGAAGCTTCTGTTTATCACACCTTTTTAAAAGCCACTTATTGGCAAACTTTTAAGCACCAGTGCTAACCTGCAGAGCTTGATGGTCTCTTAATGTTTAAAGTAGGTGGTTATTATTTACTTATTATGGTTATTAATGGTTATTACTTAGTAATACTTACGAGCTCATAATAATGGAGAACTAGTTTCTAGTTTGTCCCCCCTTTCTCCTCCGCTGCTCTCCTGTACTGTCCTCGGACAGCTCTCCCTGTCCTGTCCCCAGATATGTTTCAGCGCCGGGACTAGAAGGACCGGTTGACGTTACAAACTGGAATTAATTCTTGGTTTTCCTGTTGGTGGCTGGGGTAAACGCGAGCGGCTTTTCCTCTGACGATGACCACCTTGATCCCTAAGGGTCAGGGTATCGTTCCCAAGTGACATCAGTCCCACGACCCATCGCGAATACCCCAGATCGCAGTGGGCTGGTGGTGCTGGCGAGGAGGAGCTGGGCTGTGACCTGTAACCTGTCTTCTCTCTCCCCCTAAGCAATCTGCTCATCGTGCTGGTCTCAGGAGTTTCATCCGCTACGGCTGGGGGTGGAGCTGGAGAGTAGCCGCTTTTGTGACAATATTCAAGTAAGTCTTCCCCGATGGTAGTGGGAGAAGAGCTGGCTTATGCTCAGGCACTAGTGGCAAGGAGCCTTTCGTGCCAGCAGTGCTCGCAGCTCCTTGAGAGACTACTGGTGGTTGACTGAGGCTCAAAGTGTTGTGTTAGCAGGGAGTCTGATTGATAAGGCATGAATGTGAAGAGGATTTAACCTTTTATAATCATCCCAGAATTCAAATCTAATGAACCGACACAAAAATGAAAACTGGAAAAGCCCTGTTCCTTACATCTGTTCCGTCCTGTTAACTGACTTGAACACTGTTCTTCCCTGTACTTGACGTCTTCTTTCTGCTTTTGCTTCATATCTTTTTTGGCGTTTTTCCCTAGCAGAGTGTTACAGTGGGGTGGCTGTTTCTGGAAGAGCTTTCTATCCCATGCTAATTTTTCTCCTTTTTGTTACGTCTCATTACTCCTAGTTTGTACACACTAGCATTACTCACCATTCTTTGTTCTTGTCCTCAAATGCTTGCAGACGATCCTCTTGTTATTAAGCAGTCACTGAACATCAGACCTACCAGTTGTATGTACCTCTTTAGGCCTTCAGATTTTTCCTACGCACACAACCAACGCAGAGACAGCGTTCCACTTCCCTGATTTTTCTCCCCCAGATGTGTCTGTGTGTTTCTGACAATATAGCATCAAACTAAGCATGCTCTTCTGAATAATGCCCTTTTAAACTAGGAATATATCCTTCCCTGATGTTCAAAATGGTAAATTTATGTGTAGTCCTAAACCTGGATTGACTCTGTCTGCAGGTGTGTTCTGTTTAAATTCCCCTTCTGCTTTTAGGATACCAGCAGTACTGACTAGCATTATTTTATATTTCCACCTCCCCAATTTTTTTGCTCCTTCCTGAATTTATTTCTCGATCTCTCTCGGTTTCTTTGGCTCCTTTTGGTTTAGTATCTGCTCTTAGGTTTAGTTAGCGTCCTGTGTGCTTTCTCTCCTAGAGCTTTTGATTTCTTTAGAGATTTTCCTGGGCTTGACATGTAACCTCGTCATCTTCCACCAGATGTCTCTGCTGCAGTCAGCTCATCGCCCTTGTTCACCACCCCTCTGTAAAAGGCTTTGAAAGAAGATATTTGCTGCTTGACATTAATTGTTTCTGTAAAGTCCAAGTTGGAAGACTGACTGACTGACGGGACCTTTTCATTGCTCAGTTCCTTTTATCCTTGTCCTGGTTTCGGCTGGGATAAGGTTAATTTTCTTCCTAGTAGCAGGCATAGTGCTGTGTTTTGGATTTAGTATGAGAAGAATGTTCATAACACGCTGATGGTTTAGTTGTTGCTGAGTACTGCTTATGCTAGTCAAGGACTTTTCAGCTTTGCATGCTCTGCCAGGTGCACAAGAAACTAGGAGGGGGCACAGCCAGAATAGTTGACCCAAACTGGCCAAAGGGCTATTCCATACCATGTGACGTCATGCTCAGTATAGAAACTGGGGGGGGTTGGCCGGGGAGCAGCGATCACTGCTCGGGAACTGTCTGGGTATTGGTTGGTGGGTGGTGAGCAATTGCATTGTGCATCACTTGCTTTGTATAGTATTATTATTATGATTATTATATTGTTGTTATTATCATTACTGTTTTACTTTATCTCAACCCAGGAGTGTTTCTCACTCTTACTCCTCTGATTCTCTCCCCCATCCCACCGGGGCAGGGGGAGTGAGCGAGTGGCTGCGTGGTGCTTAGTTGCTGGCTGGGGCTAAACCACGATATATGATGGAAGAAAAAAAAAATCTTTGATTAAAAAGAGAAAGAAAGAATATCCCAGATCCAGGCCAGGAATCCTGGTATTCCCTGGCCTCTGGCTGTGTAGCTGCCTGCAGTAAAGTCACAGAAATCAAGGCACTTGTGGCTGGCGCGTGTGCGCTCTGGACAGATGGGCAACAAGGCAGTTAGAGGCAACCTGAGGGTTGGCTTAATGAAATCCTGCTTTGTTTCAGGCTGTGTTTTGCTACCTGTCTTTTTCCATGGGCAGCTGCTGACTTCTTCTGTGCCTTATCTTTGCAGCACAGTGAGCACTGGTCTGTCTGTGTACCGTAATAAAACCACCATCAGTAATTTTGCTTCGGCCGGAGGTAAGACTGCTATAACCTTGTGTACTTTTCTCTTTACGAGCAAGGGTCGCAAGCAGAATAGCATAAGCAGAAATCCCTATCTCCTGGATTTGAGCAGGTCTCTAGCTTCTGTGCTCCTGGGTTTTGTTTCCTGTTCTACCATCTACCATTATGACTTTGCTCCATTGTTTAACTGCTGCCTGCCTTTATTTGTAACGGAGAGATATCGATGCACTTCTGAAAGCATTGGGGAGTTTTGTGGTTATCAGTACATCTTCAAAATACTCGGAGTTTTTTTGCGTGAAAAATGCTTGTGTAGGGTAAAGGCAACACTTGGTGCATAACCTGCTCTCATAACCACCTATTCAGCAGGGAAAGCATTTTTTATTTCCGCTCTTCATAACAGTTCAGTGCGGTGTTTATAAACTACCCTTTTTATGCTAAGTTTTGCATGTCCGCTTTTGGCAACAGGGCTCCGGGTAAGTGATCTGGTTGTTCAGTTATACAGGGCTTTATTGCCCTTACAGTTTGATACGCGTTTTACTGATCTTTTCTGCCTTACATGGCCGCTACTATTATTAGCTGTTGTTGAATACAAACAAAAAGGGGGGAGGGATCATGCTCCAGCCTGGAGAGAGCTCGGTTTTACTTTCAGAGATACTTTTACTTCTTAGCATTTCTTGGGGAGTTTTTCTGAAGCAGAAGGAGCTTTGTGCAATGTTTTAGTGCAGAGACCATGGTGACTGTATGGTGAGGATCCTTCCCGCTGGCCACGGCGCTTGGTTTCTGCTCTGTTAAAAGAAGGTGTCAGCTCACGGGGAGGAGAAATGCAGCAAAGCAGCTCCCTCCGACTGTATGCGATGGCTGGTGGGGGGCTCTTTGTGGTTTCAGTGGGTTTGTGGTTTTTTTAGCCTTCACAGGAGCCCTTTTCAGAATGCACTTGGGCCTGCAGGGACTGGCAGGCGGCTTCGTGTTCGGAACAGCGTTTGGGTGAGTTGCGACTGCTGCCGATGAGTGATCAAGGCACAGCTACTCTTTAAGGGTGTGTGTTAGTTGGTGGCCTCAGACACCAAGCCTTGAATCATAGGTGGGGCTACAGAAGCTTCCCTTCTGCTCTTACCTTGAGGGATCTTCTGTATCTCTCTTGGGAGCAGATGATGATGACTTTTCTTCCAACCTTTATACTGTGTTTTTTCTTTTTTTCTTGATTTGTGTTTTGCTGCTTCCTCGGTCATAAGAACTCAGTGCTCTCAGTAGAGCGTCTTACTTGCTGCCCTTTGCTTATCAGAGGAGACACTAGCTACTGTTAAATAGGAAATTATGAGGATGGGTTATAGACATGTCTCCTGTCCGCCTTCCGTGGCGTGGTCACTGATGAGCCCAACAGTTGTGCGCAGAACCGTTGGGCATCTCTTTTAAGGAACTGTATTCTCTGTGGGTCAAGGCAGGAGTGTAAGACACAGCTTCTGGGCCGCCTCCTCAGCTTCATCAGCGACTGCTCCTGTAGCAGCTCAGAATCCAGATGGCACACAAGGCATGTTGGATGTCATGATGACACCTTTTGAAGAAGGGGGCACCCTGGGAACTGCCAGCCCCTAGGTTAGGAATCTGTAAAAATGAGTTTTTTACAAAATAGGCTCCATCAAAGCCAAAATGCAGAGCAGCAGCCATTAGGAAATGCTGAGGTTGGGCTGCACAGGCTGTAAGGTGGCACATCTCTTTGTGTATGTCTTGCAGTCGTGTGTCTCCTAAAGCTCCCTGGGGCATGGAGGAACCCATGATTCTCTCTCCAGGTCTCTGTCCGTCAGGACAATGACCTCTTAACTCAGGAGAAGTGTGACTTTTCAAGCAGAACTGGGATTTCTTCTCAAAGTACTGACTTGTGAATATCCTCACAAGTGAATTTGGGGATCCTGCCTGGACAAGAGGGTGAGCTTTATATATGCAGCTTCTCACTGTCAGGATGGCATCAGCTGTGGGCAAGCTTGGAAGCAGCCTAGGGCGTACCCCCAGAGCTGGACAGAAGCTAAGCAGGGGTGTGACTGTCTAAATTACGCGTTAGGTGATCTACAGGGGTTGTTTGGGCACCTTAAATCCCTCCACCCCTTTGCCCTATGTGTGCCTGTCAATGAGTAAATTCAAAATATGTTGTTGAAGCGGCTACAGTGAGTCACAGCTGAAGACAGGCTGTGTTTGGTGGCTGACTCTGGAGTAGGAGTACCTGAGTCTGTGGCGTGAGATGAGTATTGGGGAACGTTACACTCCACTGATCTGGTGCCTGGCCCCCCCACATGCTCCTTTTGCCGATGCCAGTAAGTTATTACTGTTGTGTGTCCCCTGGGTGACTTGTGACTTTTCTGCTTCCTCCTCTAGGATCCCTGCAGGGGGCCTCTTAATGATAATGCAGAAGCTTGCTGGTGAGACCTTGCAGGAGAAGAGAAATCGTGAGCGCAGGGAGCTGTATGAACAGAAGGCAGCAGAGTGGTAAGGCACAGCTCCGCCTGTTCGAGTCTTTGACTAGAAGTGTGTCTAGGTCTGTGGGGTTCAAACATTCAAAGAAACCATGACACACTAGGTTTTCTAAACCTTGGTTCTTCCACTCTTGGGTTTTGGTATGTTTCATGGACCAGTCTTCCGTTAGATGCTGCTGCTTATTTTGTAACAAGGTATTTTGTTCAAAATTCATGCCCCACCCCGGCCCAGGAAGTCTGCATCAGTTTTTCACTTTTGCAGTGGCCGAGAAGACAAGCAGGACAAGCACATTAGTATTTCTTTACCAAAATTGAGAGAGGCCAGAACTCTGGCTTTTCCTTCATTGCTGCTTGCTTTCCATCCCCGTTAAAGAGAGGGAAAAGGAAGGATAGCTGGAGGCTTTGGGGAGAAAAGGCTGTCACACTGGTTGCGTGACTTACTAAAACTCAGAAATAGTGCCAGTTCTAGAAGAAACTTTTCAAGAGTTGGGATTCTGCAGTGATACCTTTGTCAGGGGGATACAGGCATAAAATTACTTTGCACTCTCTCTTCTCTCGTTAGGCAATCCAGGCTCAGTGTGACTGAAGTCTTAGGCCAAACGGAAAGCAATGCCCAGGGAGGACCGGAGATGGAGAGAGCAAGAGAATCTAGGAGCTACTGAGTCCTCCCCAGATCTCTGTTGTAAGCAGCTACAAAGTGTTTTGATTCTGGTCGTAGAAGTCTTCAGTCAAGGGGTCATGGAAGTCTTCTGTGAAAGCAGTTATGTCCTGTGCACTTGTGAAAAAGCATTTTGCTGAAAACATTGTTCATGGATGCATATCACTGCACGAGAGCTTGGAAGGGCCTGTTCCACCTGAGAAGGTGGAAATGCAGACTCTGCAGACTAGGAAGTGTCATCTAGGTTTGGCAGGGGGTGAGGGCAGCCCCAGAGCCTTGTCTAGAACCCATTTCACTGCTGAAAATGTCCAAACCACCAGCAATGTAGAAATTTTCAAGGTAAAGGAGCCTGTGACTAGTTTGGATGCTAAAGGTACCCTGGTTCCAAAAGCGAATTATGCTCTGGTGAAAGCTGCTCTTCAGACGGGCGCCTGAAGAACTCGCTGTCGAAGTGCGATGCAGGCAGCACCAGAGCGAGTGGTTCTCCTCTCGCCATCCCCCTCCCACAGCTCGACTTGGCCTGGCTGGGACCAATGCTGTTTTGCTGACGGTGGTTTCTTCAGGCTTTTTGCAGAAATACACACTTGGTTCCTACAGTACTTGGGGTATTTTGCAATCAGTGTGGAGGAAGGGTGGAGGAGCTGGGAATGATACAGAAATACCCTGAAAAAGACGTGTTTTGGGTTCCTCAATAGAGGCGTGGCTGAGGGGGCCACAGAAGAGGATGACAAGTTTCTGGTGGCGATGGTGGAAGAATTGACACTGTGAACAGTTTTAACAATAAAAAGGACTCTAATTTCATTTGAAGGTTGGAAATTAGGAGCTGACCTTTGGCGGAAATGCGGTTCAAGACACTCAATAAAGCCATCTAGCAGTGGTGATTGTGTCCGTAAGCTCATTATGTTAGCACAGTATGTACTTTATGTGAGTACAATGTTTGCATCAGGGAAACGTACTTGAGCGATACCCTGTGAGAAGAGCTCTATCTAAGATCCCACCAGCGAGCAATAAAGTCTGGTGGTGGTGGCAGACATTTCTCTATCTGGGCAGTAACAAAGACAAGGGCAAGTGCCAGCTCTGTTTATTATTTTGTTCCAGAGATCAACTGTTAAGTCATAGCCCTACCTATGAGTAGGGCTGAAGTTAATGTAATAATGGTCTGTACCCAGAAGGGCCAGGTGGCCTGTCACCATTTCCCTCAAAGCAGAAGGTCAGAATTCTGGTCCCCTTGCTTTGTTTTATTAAAGAGAATTACCTCCAGGCAGGGGGTTCAGGTCTCCTTCCCACAAGAAGGGAGTAGTCAGTCTGTTCTGATTGAACACTTTCCTCTGTTACAGCTGATTACTGTTGATTGAAATATGAACAGTTGATTCCACAGAGTGTATTCCACCCACCCAAAGCAGATTTTTTGGCACAGCTTGCTTCCAAGAAGGTGTGGTGTTTTCTGACTTCTGAAATGAGCATTTTATTCTTTAAACACCTCAGTGTAGTTCCTTTTTCTGTTGAAGAAATACATGTGTTTCAGGGTTGTCATCAATCAGCTTTGATTTTCCTTTTCTATGTGTAAGTGAAGGATCTGAATAAGCAGAGGTATGGATATGTCTCTCCTGCTTCCTGGTTTAAACTCTGCATGCATTGGTGATGGTAGTTATTGTCCTCTGCCCCCTCAAAAACCAAAACAGCACGCCTTTCTGAGTCACATTTTTGCCATTGTGGTTACACAGCAATGCTTTATCTTTTGCCTTCCCCCCCCCCCTTTTCTTCTTTTGCTGTTACATCCCCACCCAATATCCCACACTGCTATCTGTACAGCAGTTCTGATGACATTTGCCTGTGTCGCTGCTCAGTCTTTCTCGATTCCTATTTAGTGGTATTTGATGTGATGTCTAAAGAATATGAATTTTCTTGTGTCTGACCACTGATGCAGGGATGTTCTTCCATGGGAGGGTAGGCAGAGCCAAGGTGTAGCAGTTGTGTGGATTTTTTTCTCCATGTAAGGAAGGGTGGGCTACTAGATGTCTCTGCTTCCCCTTCTGCAAGGGGAAGCAAAGACTTCCAACTACACTCAAGATTAGCAGCCATTTTTTGCTCTGTTTCCTGCTGGATTTAGTTCCCCGCACTTTCTCATCTCTTGTATTCAAAGTCACTGTCCAAATGGGGCGTGAATACTTGGTTCAGAGCTTATTTTTTAAATACAAATGTAAGGGATTCTTCACACCCCCACTCTCTCCCCTGCCCCGGCAGCAAAAGCACAGCACTGAAGTTACCGGTCCTCCACTTCCAGAGGAGGTAACACAAGTGGCAGGGCTGCAGTGAGAACGTCTTACGCTAGATTTTGCTTTTGCAGAGAACCTCCCTCTTTGGGAGGGAGAAGGAAGACCTGTTGCAAACTGAGTGTCAAGCACCATAGCTACACTGCTCAGCTGATCCCTGACAAATTGACAGACATGAGATATGTGGAAGTTACACATTGGGTACCCGAGTGCCATTTTGTCATTGCTGTTGAGCACGCCAAACAGATCTGTGTCTTGATGCCAGCTGTACCTGTTACAGCTTTGTCAACCAGCTGCATCACCTACCTTGATGCTACATGGCGTATGTTTTTAGCAGCTGTGAAATGGTGGCTGGGGCTCATGTGAATAATTGAAAGGCTCTACCGCTTCCCAGAACGTAGAACACACATCTTTTATTACTGAGGAAAGGAAATTGAGTTTACCATTTATTTTTTAATACAATTAAAGGAGAAACCCTGGGAAAAAAATGTTATATACAAAATACCTGTGATGATTAACAGAGCAGCTCACCTGGTACAAAGACCCAGGTATTAAGCTGAAAAGGTCTCACAGAAACCATTTGTGTGCAATTCACTGAATACAGCATAAGGCAATAGGAAACATGGTTCATAGTATAAGTGCTTAAGGAAAAAATAAACCAAAGAACCTGCCCATGAAGAATATAAACCCAAAAACTGATGCTAGGCATATTTGTCAGTGAAATTTTTTGTTTCTTTTAGAAGGAGTTAAAGTGTCATAGGAGTCTGTGGTGATGTGGAAAGGTCTGGCACAGTGCAAAAGACAAACCCTTCTCCAGGAGGCTGTGCAATCGTCAGTCAGGAGCAGAAGTAGAGCATGGGATAGTCAGAGGGAAAATGTTGCACCGGTAAAACTGTCAGACCTAGGGTGCGGTTGGTGAGGTGGAAATGCATTGTGGTTATAGCAGGGAAGGAAGCACAATGTTGAAAATGAGCAAAGTAAATACAAAAAGAGGTGGTTCAGCCTGCAAGAAGCTAGTAGGTTGTGCTGGAAAGAACAAGCATAGACTGACAGAAGAGGCAGCTTGAAAAGTATGAGACACCATTGCCCATACACCAAGTCCTGCAATAAGGCCAGGCTGCTTTTTTTGGAAACGCTGCTTTCTGTGACACCTTTGTCCTGCTTGCATCCAGAATGCACAAGTGCAGCGTATTGTTTCCTCATCACCCACCTTATCTTCTTTTTGCTGTCAAAAAATCCCCTCTGTAAGAATGTTCTGAAGTTCCCATTTCACTTCATACAATGGGAAAGCCGTAAAAAAGCTGATGGGGCAGCATGACTCTGCAGGAATAGAAAGGGAGCAGTGTCTTTTTTTTACTAGTGACTTGATCCCTTAGCCTCTCATAGCTCAATCCTCTATAAACCGCTTTTAGTCCTATTTCCTCCAGCAATTTCTCTCTCTCAGTATATACCTGCTAGAAAAAAGTGAAATGGATGGAATATTTCCTTGCTGTGTCCTAGCAAGATAAACAGCTCAAGCAACAAAATATCCCACAAAGAGGACGGCATGGTGCTTTCAGACTTTGGTCTGCCCTGCTAACTACACACACATGGGTAGAGCAGTAAGGGAAGGGGTACAGCATGCAGTGGGACAGAGCAAAAGGGAAAAAACAGACCTGTCAAACTCAGGGCAGGCTTGAGTTAGGTTAGGATGTCGAGTTGCTTAAGAAGTTTGTTGGGGCTTTTTCCTCTTTTCCCCTCAAAATGAGAAACCACTTTTTCCTACACAGTAGGTAAGAATATCACCCAGATCAGATGAGTCCTATCCAATGTTAGCATCCTGTAGGGAACTTCCTTCAAGTCCTGGCTGGGTAGAGAGAACACTAGCAGAAAGCCACAGCAGTCAATGCAAAATAAATCCCTATGTCGTCATGAGAGACTCGCAAGAATCTGGCGAGCCTACCCTAACAAGTATTCCTAGGCAAATGTACAAACGAAAGCAGACCTATGTTTATGAAGCAAGGCCCTGAGTTATATTTCATTACAGTAGGTACATATGAGATAACCACCAAGTGTTACAGAAATCTAAATGGGGCTTTACAAGTGTGGGTAGGAAGGAATGCACATAAAAACTTGTGTACGCGCAATGGCGTGCACATGCGTGCCCTCACGCACACCACCCCCCCCTCCGTGGGCTGCACTGTGTCAGATGTGCTCCTGCATCTCTGAGTAAATTAATGGAGGCGCTGTATCTTGGTACCTGAGTTGGCGAGGCCATCCTTTCAGGAGAGAAAGGTTACGAGAACTTCTGCCACTGCTGTAGATAAGCAATATTAGTTAGCTGTTAGGTGTGCCGTCAGTATGTATCATTCCCTAAAAAGTCTCATAGCACTGAAAAGAAGCATGAGGCATACAGTCCCACCTCAAGGTGCTTTTTCATGAAAAGTGTGTGCATTATTGCCTCTGTAGGGGGGAAGGGACGTGTATCTGTAATGGTCAAGTCCAAATCCAAAGTCCTCCAGCACAAAGAACAGCACTGGTGGATACCCGTGTGAGTCTGAACACGAAAGACGTTTTAGCTGCTCCCAGTCACAACATGGAGGCACAGCCTGACTTAAGCTTGTGTGTCAGGGTCTGGGGTCTCCCAAAGGCCAGCTCTGCATTACTAAAGGGGTAGGTGGGTGTAAGCTACTTGCTAGGTCTCTGCAGGCCCCCTGATTTTCATAGAGGCAGTAGCAAAGCCAGAGGATCCCGAACTCTTGAACTGGTGTGTCGATGCTGACAACAGTCTTCTTCTGCCCCGTTGCCGGAACACAGACGGTCCTCCCAGCTGGAATTCCTGTGACCCCGTTGTAATGAGAACACCCCACAGCTTCTGTGGCGTAGGTGGGGTTTTGTATTAATTCACACAAGATTATGCTGTCAGTCTTCTTGAGCAGTTTTCTACTGCTGTCATTCCCTTTGAGAGAGCCAAAGGGTCAACGCCATAAGCATTGCTGTACAACAAACAGTGGGGACTGCAGTGCAGAATACACAGGATAAGAAACCTGAGGGACACAAAGAAAAGATTTTACTGATTTTTTTTTTTTTTTTTCCCCTCCCCGCCTTCTTCCTAATCCTAAATGTAAGCCAGAGCGTTGCAGAGCCAAGACAAACGGGGATCAGCTGGGAGAGCCCTCCACAAGAGGGCTCCTATGACAGCAAAGGCAGAGCTGCTCGAGCTGGGGGGCTCAAGGCAGGCACTACCATGAGCTACAGACTGGCTCAGCGCTGACTGTGAAAAACCTTTGGACCGTACAGAGGTGCTATCCCTCTGCGAAGTGAGGATGACTAACAAACGCGCTACCCTATTTAAGCAGCAATAGGACACGGGTCAGCGCATCGCACAGTTACGAGATGAGAGTCAGCTGCTAAGGAAGCACAGCTTCCACCCCTGTCCACAGACAGCAGCCGTTCCAGGCACTGGAGTTGGGAAACACCAGCCACTTGCAGAAAAAGCCTGGCAAACTTTTATAACAAAAGAGGAATGTGGCAGAATGGATTTATTTAGTAGGTGAACTCCTGCCACTCCCATCACAAAACCCCCCAGAATTCATGCTAACCAAGGCTCTAGTATCTGTTCCAGATAGGGCCTTCCCCGGAGGAAAACATGAGTGGGTTGTCAAGTTTGGAAATGAGACGAGTGGCCTGAATGATAGTTTCCCCTCCTTTCCATCTCAAAAACGTTAAGCTTTTAGACTACTGCAATACACAGCATGACAAATCGATGACTTCTAGGACTCTACAGCTGTTACTCTACGGCATTACCCTGGCAATTCAGCATGCTGTGGTGAGAGCAGGAAATGCAGTCACCTGGATGATGATGCGAATAAGAACAGTTAGCTGCTAATCTTCCCTTAAGTCTCTTGACTTGAAAAATGTCTTTTTGGAGGACACAGCCCTGAACACAGCTGAGCTTTCAAGCCAAAATGAATATAATGCTTTGTAGTCATAAAACCTTGGTAAGCCAGACTTTGCCCCAGCCCATCCTTCACAACACCTCAGTATCAAAAGTAAGTCCTTTAAAAATACAAGTGTTTCCTGGGCAAGTCTTAGAGGGGAAAATTTTCCTTCTCCACTCCTCCAGCTGCTGAAGGGAATGAAGATATCTCAGAAGTGGACTGGCCTTGCTAATCTTACTGGGAAAGCTGGAGCTGTTTTCTTGTTGTTCACCTCTCCCTCACCACCATTTGGCCAACCCTTCATTTCTATCATCAGTGATGTTCCCATGTTTATGCATGGCACATGGCTCACAGGCCATCAGCCAGAAATTACCTCTAGGGGATGAAGCCACCTGTGGGAGCTGTAGTAGCGAATGAACTACTCGCAAATGAGTCCGACAGGACAGGAACTAAAAGACTGCCCAGTTCTTAGTTGGGAGGCCCATCAAATGAGCACCAGGGCAGTGGCAGGGGATGTCACTGCAGATCCTGAGAGATGGATGACCGTGCTACAAACCCGCCTCTCAGATATTAACCAGCTTCCTTGCACAGGTTCAGAGGAGACACTGACAGTCAAAGTTGTCAAAAGTTCCTTTTCTTTCATCTCTATCTTCATCCCCATTTAGTCCCTAAAAATTTATGTTAATTACAGAAATGAATGCCACAAAAACTTGCACATGATCCACGGAGGGCCCATTCTGTGGAGAAAGCAGCTTTGCAGCCCAGGAAATTTGGTCATCTAATGTTTTTTCACTAGATTCATTTCTAGAAATTTGAAATAACCCAAACAAAGCGATGCCCCACAAGCAACATGACCATCATTCCTCTAGTTACCTGACCAGGAAACACTACGTGTCTGAGTTGGCAATAGGGCCCTACCACTTTTATTTACCCTAAAGGACAGCACACACTCATATTAAAAGCCGTGCATGGTTTTGTGAGCTAACATCACACGAGAATCTAATAGTATTTGTGAAGCTATTTTGCGAAGAGAAGAATGGTGAAGAAAACTACCTGCAAATGTTATCTGGTCATACAGATGATGTTTCAGATGGCACTTTAGGGCTCGTGGGTGGCTTCACACATTCTTTCACACCCTCTTCCACTGAATCCTGAGGCTTACAACAGTAAGAACAGACTGAAAAAGAAGATCCCTCATTAGTATTTGGAATTCCAGAAGACATAGAAGTGCTGAATTCAAATGTCTTCTTCAACAAAGTGAAGTATAACTGAGAGTGGGAAGAAAGGACAGAAGAAATTAAAGACAAGGAAATCTTTTAGGTCTACTTTCTTCTATTTTTCCTTAGCAGGATTCATCCCTGCAGTACATCTGAATATGGCTGGCCCATACCCATAGTCTGATCTGATGGAAAGCTCTGTTATATATAAATGTTGTCTATATAGCATCGTATGGATAAAACAGTTCTCATTAGCACAGGGCTAGGACCTCAGCCTGTCACAAAGACAGGTTGGTACATGCTAAGATAAGGTCAGAAGGGAAATAATGATAAAAGTTACCTGTCACTAAATGCAGTTTACCAAGCAAGTGAAAGAATGCCAGTGTTAGAACCAGCCAACCAACTCTTTCAGTGCTTTAAAAGGAGTTCAGATTAAACAGGTCCCCTTAGTATCCCAGCATTTATGAATGACTTTTGTTTTAATAATTCAAGTTGAGTCTCTCTGTACTACTACAGCAAACCGTAGTTGCACAAATTTTACAACATGGATCCTAAGCTATTCTTTAAGTGACCTCTAATCTTGGTCTAATCTTGGAGCTTTGTGTTAAATTAATTGAAGAGCAAAAAAAAAAAAAAAATCTAGAGAGTTTCCATTCTTAAATTACCACAAAGATAGGCTGTGAGCTCCTCAAAGTATGGGGTTGTGAACCTCAACAAAGCATCTACATGTTTTGGTCACCACCACAATCATGCATCTGAGAACTCTTATTTCCGTTTTACTCTATCTATTCTTCCCTCCCACACTTCAGCCCTTTGAAGCATGGCTTTTTGAGCTCAGAAACCACTCTTAGCAACAAGGCAGCTCCTGACGCAGCTTTCCATATGCCAGAACAACAGAGGGACTCTCAGACCTATTCTGAGCTTCCACAATAACTCTTGAAAGGTGACCTGTAGCAACACCAGCAGGAAGCACTCTTAAGACAGGTATTTCCCTTCCCAGACAGGTGGCAATGCACAGCAGCGCCAAAATGTGACAAGTGTACAAACTGGGAAGTTGGATTGAAGCTCTAGCTTCAGTTTCTTCCAGTATACGCCTGGTCTGGAAAGTGGCTGTACAAAATAGCACTGCCTGACTCGGCAAATCTACTCCCTGTGCATATTAGGAAAATGGTATGGAAAGGAAAATTCCAGTTTATGCAGCCATGTCCCATGCAGGTGATCACATTGTACCACATTGGTGTGCTTTTTACATCTACTTTAAAGGCAATTTGGTTTCTATATAAAAGGCGCTCTCAGAATGCTCCAGAATCTTACTAATTTAATGGTAAGGAACCTTTTAATTTCCAGCCTATATTTGTTTAAAGCCAAATCTTCCAATTCCAGTTAATTTTCTTCTATGATTAGAAGTTCGTTATCCATGCAGCTAACAGCATAGGCTGTGATCAGCTGCGATTTTCTTGGTTTCAACCTCCCTGCTGCTTTCCTATTGACATAGCCCCAGGGAACAGCAGGGGAGAACCAGCACTGGTGTCATAGCGGCACATGAGTGGAAAATGAGGAGGTGCACAGGTGTAGCCAAGAGTCACTGCCTTCCAGAAGCTTCCTTTCTTTGTGATAAAACAACAAAAAGGAAATTAGCCCAGCCTGACTCAGTGGTCACATTAGTTTTTGAAGGGATGTGGTTGGTGAGGTGGGGAAAAGAAAAATAGTAATGCTACCTCCACACCTCTGACTTGGGAGTGAATTTGTCTGAAGTTGAAATAGAGGTAGCAGAAGACACAGGCGTGACAAACTTACAAGCGTCCCCTAAGTGAACTGAGTCCCTGCTGCCTAGCAAATAATGTCTTTCCAATGGGGGATACCACTGCGACTGCGATGAGCTAAGACACTCAAGACTGGTGGCTTCTGGTTTTAGTGGGCTGAACGTAGAGCACTCACGGTGTGGGATTCTTGTCTCCAGACTTGACTTCCCCAGTGACCTGACAGAACCTGATTGGGTGATATTTATAACATGTTGCAAGGCCTGCTGTCTTTCTCTAGGACTGCTCTTCAAAGCTGCTAACAGGGTGTGGATAGGACATCTACTGCTGCTGGCTTTCAGCACCGGCTGGATGCCTAGCTGCCTTTATAAATCCATTAGATGTCTACCCACATCTTAAGGGGCTTTCTGGCTAGGTCTGCTTAAGACACGATTAGGAGCAACTGCTAACAAATGAGAGTTTTTTTGAGCCACAAAACAGAAAAAAAGTCTACTCAGCTGCCAGCAAACCCTGAGATGCCTGAAGTCCCCTTAGCCATTGAAAAACTCCTGGAGACATGTCTGGAGTTACTGAAAACTTCATAGGGTGGGACAGGGCACCTCATCTGTGCAGTTTTTGGCCACACAAAGACAAATCCGTCTGTTCTGATTGGGGTTCTCCTAAAAGTGGGACATCATTATGCTTAAGTCCTTTCTGTGGCCCTAGCACTATGTATTTTTGTAACTTTGGCTCTGTGACTTTTCTGAGGGATTGTCTAAGTAGGGTGTGTAGAGAGATCCCATTTTGAAACTGTCAGTGCTCAGCTGTATCTATCACGATCACCAAGCTTCTTGGCATCTTCAAGCATCTTAATACATAAAAATGGACCTTTGTGAATCTCTTCAGTTCTGTATACCCCTGATTTTGGAAATATTCTGATCTGCTGTTAAAACTCCCCATCACCCCTCCACTCTCAAACCTGAACCCTAGTGCTGCCTGCACACGAAATGTAGGAAAGTCCTGAGCTGGACTTAGATTTTGTGAGAGTAGACGCTGCATGAAAAGAAAAAAAGGAAATGAGAAGGTACAAAAATACCTAGTGTTCAGTATAGTTTCTATAAATGTGTATTTTACATAGAAACTCCATAAACAGTAAGAGACTGTTTCTTGAAAAAGGAGCTACACTTACCATGCCTTCGGAGGTATCTTGCTGCTAGGGTGATAGCCAAAAGGAAGATGATAATGATGATACTTGAAGCAGTAATGACATTATATGATGAAGGCTCAGTAGTGACAACACAGTTAGATGTTTTTTCTGAGGTAGAAGAAATACAACATAAATAAAGGACCCAACAACATTTTGGCATTTTCATGTAAGAGCAGGTACATCATTTTTGGTGGTTCTGGCCAAATTCTAACTCAGATATTCAGCCTGAAAATTTACCTATTCAATAAACAAACAGACAAAGCTGGCACCTAAATTTCTTCCATTCCCCCACATTTGCTGTGTGCTGAAATTTTTAACACATCCACAGAATCTGAAATGCTGGGTCTTTGTCCAGAACAGGACTGAGACAGGCAATATTTAAAAACACATAAGCTGTTTTTAAATAAACTCTCTAGGCTTGGTAGAAAAGTCTGAGTCTATACCTAGGAAACTTCCATTCTCAAAGGTACTCTGCAGTTTTTCTTACTGTTTTCACCAGATTTATGCCTAATTTTTTCCCCTCTGAATTCACAGGTGATGGAGAATGATGCATTAAACAGACTAGAATAGACTTCTTTTCTGCATGGCAGGAAAAGAATGTTGTGGCAGAGTTCAGTTTCAGTAGATCTGGAGTCTTTGGCTTTTCGCCATTGGACATTAGAGTGGCCATTCTGCCACTTGGACATTAGGGTAGATAACGGGCCATTCTTGCACAGTACAGGTCAACCCTAATTCAACAGGAGGGACAGACTTGGTGCATGTTCCTAGGTCTTCAGATTTTCATCATCTGCATCTGGCACAATTAAGCATCATTCAACTTCTAAGACACTAGCCTAATCCACTGTACAATCTTCCCCTCCACTGCAGGGTTTGCCTCCTACGTTTACCAGAGGCTGTATTCTGTCTGGAACTCCCTGTTCATGAAAGACTTGTTTGGAGGACCATTCCCATCATAGCAAAATGGGAGTGATTCCACACCTTAAAAATCAAAAAGTGGGGGTTCGGTGACTGCTCTTGTCACTGTTGATTGCACCCTCTTCTGAGAATCCGTGACACAACAATTTATTACTACTATTGCTTTTTTTGTTGCTCTCCTTTTCTATGTAGTATGATATTCATAACCTTCTTCCATTACCATCTCTAAGGACATTATGCACTACATCCAGCAATAACCAATATTCATAAAGCTCTTGTTTCTGGCATTCATCCTGAAGCTGAATGGCACCTCTCCTCACAAGCCCCTTTGATTTCAGTAAGACTGATGAATAAGGTACCTTGATGAATAAGGTACAATTCCCTAGGAAAAACAGTGCTTCTCTAGCTTCCCTTGAAGGTGCCCTTATCTCTACAGTGAAAACATCAGACCCAGAGACATTTCAGAATACTTTTTTGGTAACAACATTAAAAAAAAAATCCTTTTGGCTTTAAGAATTTTCTTGCAAATCCCCTTCTACTGCAAAACATCTGGTCTGTAGTGTGCTGCCTTCCCTCATGCTGTTTCCACTTGTGCCTCAAGCTTTTCAAAGCACAGACTTATCTATTATGTTATCACTTTTAAGCCACACACAGTGATGGAATTTTTTCTGTTTGAGTTAACCCTGTATTAAATACGTGTATGAAAGCAGAATTTTGTCTAGACCCCAGCTGACAGTTTCTGTCACTAAAGCAGGAACAAGCATGCTTATTAAATGAGAAAATTCTATTTAAGTTCAACCTGTGGCTTTTAAGGCACACACATTTCTCAAGTCCCTCCATTCCAATACCAGGTCTGTACTGCGCAACTGGCAGCAAGACCGTGCTGGTACAGAGGGGCACTGAACGGTGACAACTCCAATGTGTAGGAGCCACTGAGGCTGACATCACCAGATCCCAACTGGATCCAGTTGCCCTCTCAGCCCAGCTGCAACTCACGGTAGAGCAGCAGGAAGACAGAGCCGTCTCTGCTTGTCAGCCACTGTCATAACTCTCCTCTCCCACCCCTGCTATCTTACAGCCTTTGAAATATTTTGGTGTGCAGCTCACAGGCGGGATCATTGGGTCATCCTTGCATGAACAGATACAGAAAATCCACCACTTTCTCAGAGAGGCAACTCAGCAGATTCAACAAAATGGTTTTGTAACACAAACTATTAATAAAACCTACTCAGAAGCAAACTGCTGGACTTGGCTAAGCCATTGTATTCAACGGAGCAACTGAAGCTGACGTCTTTGGTCACGTTGAGCCTCAGCTTGCCAGTGATGTTGTACAGGTTGAGGCTGGACTTGGACACTGAGGTGGTATTCCACGCCACGGACACGTTGTTGAGGGCTCCAGAGATTTGGGGTTTGGGGAAACCTCCATGAGAAGAACATCTTACAATCATCTCAGTTGATTCACAAGAAGTAGAGGATACATTTGCTGTTATGTTCGGCTTACTGAAGTCAGCTGAAGCAAGAAAGATTTAGTTACCGTTCTGACAGATTACAGCAAGGGCTGCAGTATTGATCACCCATGGTCAAAGCACAGACTCCCCCACAGGGCATTCTTCCTCTATCATAATCTGTTTGGCCTTTCTTTTGCCTTCGTGTTCTCCCCATAGCCTTGACTGGATATGGCCTTGGCCTTTGCTTCTTCTCCTTCCCTGGGCAGTACACAGACTTCATGACCCCACCTCTCCAATGCCGCCGTTTGCCTCTACAAACAGCAATTTGTGGAACAACAGAAGGAATCATAAATCAGGTAGGGAAAATATAGGACTAAATAAAAATCTGTATTACAGGCAATGGTAGACAATTTCCTTTTCCTTCCCTCATTAGTCCCTTCCCAGCCAGAAGCTCAGAGGGGGTCCATCTCTGCTAGGAAAGGAGGTGAGTCACATGTTGGTCTCTCAGCCGGGATGGCCGGCAAGAGACCAAATTACATTTTCTGCATGACAGCCCCTCCAGAAGGCCCAGCTGAGAGCAAGACCCAGTCACACTGGTCATTGCAAAAATACGTAGCAATACACATGTCCTCTCAGACTATGTTCTCAGTGGACTTTTTTCTCATTGCCAAAGAGGGTTTTCAGAGGTTTCCCACCCACACAGCTTGTTCCATGCCTTCCCACCTGGTCAGATGTATTGCTGTAAGTATTTGTGAGGCTGCATGGTGAAATGGATAGGAGGACTAATATGAGTGAAGAAGGAGAAGAAAGGTTTTGTCATTTTTAGCCTGCTTCCCTTTGCCAGTCTGTTCAGCGTGTTACTGTAAACAGTTGCATTGGTACAACTGAGGACACCCATGGGTTGCAATATACAGCCCAGGGTGAGGAGGAGGAGGCAAGGGGTGGCAAAGCAACTCCCACTGGAAAAATCTTCGTGGGACCACACCTTTAGCAAAAGAGGCACCAGTCAGAGAAAGAAACTCGGCATGTGGCTTCCTGGTGGGCCACCAACACAATGGCTGCCAAAGGGACCAAATTCTCCCTCCCACCCCTGCCAGCTATAGGTCTAGACCCTGCACACCCCTTCAGGCACTAGCCCCAGCCAGGCAGAGAGCTGCAGCAGGTTGCTCAACTCACTGCAAAATGACCCTTTTTTGCAGCAGCTAAGGTTTTGTCTGCGCTTGCTCCCCGCCTGACTCACTATTTGACCACATGACTGCCGAGATAAGGCAGGCAGCCCTGCTGTTGTAGCACATCTTCCACAGCTGATGCTGACCACTAACCCATGGTCTAGGCTACCAGTAACTAGTGAAAGAAACTCACTCAACTTTACACAGCCGACCAGGGGCCGACAAGGAGAGACACGGATTTCCTTCCAGGCCCGCTGTCTGTTGAACAATATGGCATTGACATCCAGTCTGGAAAGTCCCTTCAAACACCCCAGCCGACTTCACCGAGGCTCCCCGGTCAGTCACCAGGGAGTAACACTTTTCTGCCTCTCTCGGGGTAGCCCGATTCCAGCAGGGGCAAGGAGAGATTTCCCTTTCCTGATCCCCACAATAGCTGATCCTACTTTTCCAAAGGGAGCAGAATTCTACCGCAATTATTACAACTGGCCCGTTAAGACAGCAAGGGGATTTCTGGAAGGAAAGAAACTGGAGTATTTGTGGGGAGGAAAAGAGATCCGTTATTTCACATTTTTCATGCAGTTAAGTCCTCAGCCCTCACAGCTAGAGAGGGTGCTGGCAGTGCACTTCCCTTTTTTCATACCGGTTCCCAGAAAGATCACTAAATTTGTCTCCTTGCACATGTGCCCACCATGCTCTCAGGCAGGCAGGCAATGGCCAAACCTCAGGAGATTGGGTTTTTTTGCTGATGAATCTCATTCCAGATGGAGAATGCTCATTCACTGGCTTGTCTGGAAGATTCCTGGAACCCTCTGCTGCTAAAGGTATTCAAATGTATATATATATTTATATGTTATCAGCATCTCTGCCTTTGGTTGAAACCAACCGCCACAAAAACAGTGGTGGAAATGGAAAATAATGTCAACGGAACTTTTTGTAGCCTCCTAGAAAAGATTCAGATTCGTTTTGAGCAAAGGAACTCGGGTTTTTTCTTTAAGGCAAAAAGCCTCAAATCTCCAGCTGAGTTCAGCCTTAGGTTGTGGAGCTGCAGTGTAGCTGGCAAGCTGGCCAGCCCCGCGGGGAGCCTGGGCTCCCAAGGGGTTGGATGCAGGGCTGGGATGCTGCTGTGGCCACAGAGAAGCAATGCCACCCCATTCCCCTTCCGGCTTGGACGCTTCCTGTGCACCAAGGGCTTGGTCTCTGCCCAAAAGACAGCAGGGGGCAGAGGTGGCCTAGGGCAGCCACCAGCAGTAGGACCTGGGGAGGTGTCCTGGCAGGGGGGTCCTTGCCCAGGAGGGAAGCATCAAGGGTAGGACGGTGGGCTGGTGGTAGGAAAGGCGAATTTTTTGCACCTGGGGTAGCTTTGGAAAGGTAAGGGGGGAGGCTGATAGAATGGAAATACAGGGGCCTTAACACACCTCCCAGCACTCTTTTAGGCTTCCTGAAGAAAGCCTATCTGCTACACTATGACTAAAGCTTGGAGGAGTGTCTCTTACCCCCAGAAAGCCTCAGGTGTCGGGAGGCAATCCACCTACCTGTAACAAAGAGGGTGACAGTCTCATCACACAAAACTACTGAGTTCTGTGAAAATCTGAGGTGCTGAACTACACACTGGTAAGGGCCATTGTCCAGGATTTCCACAGGGGAGATCCACAGGGTGAGGTTCTTCTCATTCATCTCTGTCCGGTTCTTGTACCGCTCATGCTCGCGGATCACGTTCCCTTCTGCGTAGGCAAGCACTACCTCCGTGGTGTTCTTCTGCCAGTAGACCCGGTAATTATGTAGGCCTTCCGAGCTGGGAATTTCATGACAACAAGGCAGGCCAACTTTTTCCCCTGCTTTGCTTTTGACTACTTTCTTCTCCAGTGCATAGCCTGTAGGTGGGGGGCAAAGAAAAGTCAGTGAGACAGTGGTACAGCCTTGTGCCAAGACCTGCTGTGTAGAGCTCACCTCTTTCGGCACTGTCTGCGCCGGCTAATGTACCTCATCACCCACCAAGCTGTTTACAACTTCAGCTCTGCACTGAGGGGAGGCCTACCTTGGCATTGCCTTTTACGTGATGTTCCAGTCCTACTTAGGATCCCGAGCTAGCGGGCACACAATGATTTCTGCATGGATTATTGGAGCCAAAGGCAGGAGAGTTACCTGCCTGAACAGAAATTTTGCTGGCCCCTTGAAAAAAAAAAACACATCCCAGAGTAAAGAATTGCCATTATTCCTGTAAAGGGATAAAAACAGACATGCCCAAACTGCTATCTTCTTTGCCATCCACTTTCAGAGATCAGTGTTTGGAAAGTCTGTGTCACCCTCCGGTGGGTTCTCTGCATGCCAAACAGAGCGACAGTGGACTATTAGTTTGGAGGGTTGGGTTGGGGGTTTTTTTGTAAAAGAATAAAACCCAAACCTTTCAAGATCCCAGAAGCTAGAAGCAACCCTACAATGACAAACAAAGGTTAAAGCCGCACTGTCATCAGCCTCCTAGTATTAGCAGATGAACAATTTTGCCTAGTCTAGCTGAAACATTTATATTTGTGAAGGCCCATGGGACTCCCTTGGGATTACTTGCAAACCAGCACAGACATTCCCCAACTCCTGCCCAGTGACCATGTCGGTGCCATACCTAGTGTACAGGCATGTGCCTACAATAACAAAGCGGAGGCCCTTGCAAGTGGGAAATTCAGTACAATTTTGACCAGGTTAGCAGTAATCCCCCTGCTTCGCGCTACGACTTCCATGGACGCTGCTCCCGCGATCAGCCCTGGTTTCACACCCCCCTTCCTCTCTCCAGTGGGTAGGCGCTCGCAGGGGCCAGGACCTGACACGCGAGGGAGCAGCCTAGCAAGGAGCAACTGCTGTTGCTGGAAGAGTGACTCAGTACTGATGCGTGGTCCTGTGCTGCAGCAAGGCCAGAGCAGACGGCTGGGCTATTGCCTGCGTTTGTGCAGCCTTCAGGATGATGCTTATGCCCGCGCACGCTGCTTTCTTAGTCCAGAAGGTCGGGTTGCTTTATGTTTGCCCTGCTTGCCTCAGCCTCACTACCTTAGCACCCACCTCCGGTAGTGGAAGGGGGATGCTAACGAGGAAAACAGCCAGCCTCAGGACAAAGAAGATTCAAATTCCCTCTTCCTTCCCTGCAGAACAGATCTCAGTAAACACATCTGAGAGAGAAAGCGGGAAAGTCCTGGCCAGGCAGTGTGTCACTGATGGGGAGAGTGCAGCATCAGCTATCGGTGGAGGTGATAGCCCACGTGCAAAGCCTCAGCCTGAAGCATGAACTGAACGCTTGACAGAGCTGAGCCTGAGAACTGCCACCCACCCCTAGCAAAATCTGGCTGATGCTGGCTCACATGTTATTGTCACTGCTAACGCCTAACCACAGCCACACCATGCACAGGCACAGAGTGCAGCTCTCAGGGTGTGACTGTGGGGCTGCGGCATTCAGATTCAGCTGAAGTGTCCAAAACTGCCACAGGCTTGCTGCCCACCAGGGCTTGTTTGCTTAGAGGTGACTCACAGACCCTTGGGATGCTGTCACACAGCCGGCAGCGAGACCCCTGCAGCATGCCGACCTGTGCCCAGCGGCACACCGTGGTGATGTGCTTTGCAGTCCTCCAGCTGCCGGTGTTGGAGGGAGACAAGCAGATGCTCAAGCAGTGCCCTGGCACAGCCTGATCTTGGGGCAGCATTGGGGCTGCTGGATGAAGCTTAGCCCAGGTAGAGAGCCTGGGACAGAACGTGAAATAAGTTTTCTCCCCCTTCCCCTGAGACACACCTACCCCTGTTCCACCCACATGCTTTACATTAAATCCATAGGAAACGCACTGAAAAATACTGGGGAGGTCCTGGCAATGTTATTGAATGTTTTAATACTAATTAAATAGAATAGGTAATTAAATGAGAAACTTCTCATTTAACTGGTTTCCCTCCGCTCAGCCACTTCATTGGTCTTCCAAAGGGAAAGATTCAAACACAATTCCCTCCCCCCGCCGCCCCACTACCTGTACTTCCCCTTATAATGCATCGCAGACTACGAGCAACCAGACTGGGGCAGATCAGGAGCCCACTCAGCCTGCTGACCTGTGTCAGCCAGCAACTGGTAGCAAAATGGTAGAAAAACCAGTTCTTCCACAGCCCACGGGGTAAGAACTGCCATGCCCTGCCAACCTTTGGCAGTCACGGATTTAGGGATTTCTTGACACTGGCAGTTTAATTACTACTGCTAGACCTACCCTTCATGAAGGGATCTCACCCCCTCAAGTATGCACACGTATTTTTGGCTTCCACGGCATCCTGTGATGAGTTACATGGTTTGATTACATTCTGTATGAAAAAAGCATTTCCTTCTGTTCACGTTAAAAGCAGCCCACTTTAGGCTGTGATTCTTGAAGTTCCCCCTCCTGCGTGTCTGCATGCATTTGTGTGTGTGTGTGTGTGTGTGGTGTGTGTTTTTTTCCCTCAACCACAACTTTGCTTGTTCTCCCAGTTCAGCTCTTACTACTGCTGGAGACATTCACAAGAGCAGCCAGTCAAACTTTGGGATTGTGCAGCCTGATAAAGACAAATTTCTATTTTCTTTTGCAGCAATAGAGGAAGAGTAGGCGTACAGTAAATGTCAGGGTGACATCGCATCATGAGTTGCATGAGGTTCTCTGCGCCTTGCCCCTAAGAGTCTCCTTTGCAACCAAAAGGAGAACAAAAACCTCCTCGGCAGTACATGTGCAGGGGCTGGAAACTCCTGCTGATGTCACATCTACCCTTAAAAGGCTCTGCACCCTTGAAACTGCAACCTGGATGCTGCAAGCCTGAAGGAACCAAAGTCCACGAAGAGTCATTCAGCCCCACAAAAGTCCCCTTTCACTTTAAAGGTGAACTGCAAAGCAAAAATGAAAATTCAGTTCTGCCCCATTTCTGTGCTGAATGCTCTCCGTAACCAGGCTGTGGGGGAGGTATCCACTGTGGAAGTAATTTTTAATGACTTTTCTAGAAAAAAAGATCCCTCCTCTTCCTACGCCCCCTGAAGCCCACCCACTCCCTTGCTGTGCTCACATGTTGCTCCGTCACTGGAAGCCCCTGGTGTGTGGCAATGCTGCACCGATG